CCTTCCTCTCTCGTTAGGAGAGATTAGACCAATATACGCCTATAAGTCACTATAGACCAGTGACGTCTTGGTATATAGAAGAGGAAAGGGTACTAGAAAAGACCTCATGATAGTCAATATGGGTCCTCACCACCCATCAATGCATGGTGTTCTTCGACTGATTGTTACTCTCGATGGTGAAGATGTTATTGACTGTGAACCGGGTTATTTACACAGGCGACCAAAGGGAGGAAAATCGAACAATTATCAAATATTTGCCTTATGTAACACGTTGGGATTATTTAGCTACTATGTTCACAGAAGCACGTAAATGGGCCCGAACAGCTAGGCAATATTCAAGTACCTAAAAGGGCTAGCTATATCAGAGCTATTATGTTGGAATTGAGTCGTATCGCTTCCCATTTGTTATGGCTTGGCTGGCAGTTCCTCACGAACCCGAATGCACTATGCCTCCGGGCCAATTTCATAACCGATGCTTTCTATCCTTACGAACCAGCCTTGCCCAAAGCATGAGGTCCGCCCCAATCTTTAAAGCGTCAGTTGGGCCCTAGCCCCCATATGAGATGAAAAAAGTCGAATTGATCAGTGACGCATTGTGAAAGCGCTTTTTCCAATGAGCGGATTTCTTTCACTTTCACTTCTTCTCGGCCAAACCCGTCTTTTTTTGATTCCCTCATTCGATAAACCACACCGGAATGCAAGTAGAATCGGTTAGAAAGTCTTTCTGCTCCTCCAGAATGGCTGGTAATACCACTTAAAGGCGGATAGACCGTCCACCCAGTTCCGCTACCCACTAGGACTAAGCTGATGTCTCAAGATAGATGTCTTCCTAGTGGCCTGGTTCTTAGGCTTATTCCTTATTCTTGACTTCACTTCGCTTCGCTTCGTTCGTTGGGTAGGATTCGGCTGCTAGGGGAGACCTAGGAAAGCGGGTCGGGGACGACGTTTCAAAACTGTCAAGTAAAGAAACCTACCAGCAAGCCAGCTCCCTCCCGGCCTCAGTCAAGTCGATGGAAGACCGGAAAGCTTATCTGTTTGAATTAGCATGGGGCAAGCCACCACAGAATCGAAAGGAGAAGGAATAGACCGATCTCCTCCTAACACTACCCAGTGGTATGCCTATGGCATTAGATGTCGAATGAGGCTTCGCCGAGGGAAGGTGTAATTGACCTTTGGCTCAAGGGAAATTGCCAAGTAGGGATTTTGCAGCTATATGTTCATAACTTTATCGATGAATGGTTGTGTGCTTTCTGAACTCCACCGGGGTTAGGAATAGAGGGTAGCGGAATATCGTACTATATCCGTAACCTATAGAAAATCAAGAAAGGACTGGTACATAACTTGTATATAGGTTGGCGAGGAAAGCAAAGTGAGACTCTAAAAACGAAGCGAAGTGAAGTCATAGAATTGTCATTCACTTCAAGCTCGGGTTATTGGTTGTTATGAGTTAAGAAAAAATATTCAATTAGTAATTTCTTATCTGGTAAGGAATTGGATCAGAAGCATCGAATGCTTCGCTGATCTCTCACTTCGTTCGAGCTGCTTCGCTCCTCCCAAACTTATCCTTCTAGCTTTGCCGTTCTAACTTTACGGGGAAACTTTACACGAAAACAATCTGGCTTCTTAATCACGCTCAGCGAAAACTGTTGCTTTCCCAAAGCCGTTTGATCCTATATTGCCTGGACCCGCGTACTCATCGTGGTCGTCCCTCAGCCTCCCGCACCCATATTCCTAACCATCCCTGGGAGGAGAATAAGGATAGCTAGTCACGGACGATTTTCTCACCTACATAGTATACGAATCCAAGACTTCGTAGCTAGAGGCTAGACGGTATCAAACCACGGGAAGAGCAGCTTTCTAGGTTCTGCCATTGTAGGGTAAAAAATAATAATCAAAAACGAAATAGAAGCGACGCCTGATTCGCCAAAGTACCACTGCCACCAGGGCTTACATCCTCCTATCGCCTACTAGCTGCATGCGTTATATACCTACTGCTTCTATCGATGGAAAGACCGAAGCACGTCTCCCTATAGCTTTGACTGCCAGAGGTTGGGAAGAAAAGGGGTGACTAAAATGAGCAAGTTAGCGACTTGTCAAAGCTTGGTGGCTGGTTCAGTCGCTTTCGAGAACTAAGATTGACTGTCAGAACGGGATCGTGTGATAATGACTTAGTCACCTCCATCAAAAATATTAGAAACTTCCCGACTCGAGATAGAATATCATTAAGAGAAGAGAGAATGTAGCGTAGGGCAGATGTAAGGTATCCGAGTTCGCAGGTGTAGTTTCGTGTACTTAAAAGAATCGGGATTATGTTAGTGTTCAGTGTACTTTAGTAATAGTATGAACTGAAGGATATAGTGGCCGTACTTTAGACAGACCGCAAAAAAATGGTTTTTGAAAATCAGCGAAGCATAAATTCTCGTAGATAAGAAAAATATTGGACCGGGAAGAAAAAAGGGAAAAAAGAAAGTCTAAGCGCGCGCATATGGCACGAAAAGGGAATCCGATTTCGGTCAGACTTGATCTGAATCGTAGTGAAGATGAAAGTCGGTTCAGTGAGGGTAGATGTAATTTAGAAAGTCACCGAATGGGTCAGTCTTTTCCTTTGTCCCTTTTAAATGAAATTGAATTAAAAAGCGTGGGAGGACGTTGCAGATGTCCGGGACGGACACGACTTCTTCTAAGGCTAGAAGACCACAGGAATATACCCGGGACCAGAGCATGTCGTGAAAGAAGTACACTGGACGGGCGTGCTTCGACCCTGTCTCCGGGGAAGCCGAACCAATCCCGTAGAGACTTGACCCTTGCCTTGCTTTCTTCTGCTTGATTCTCACCTTTCTTTTCCATATGCTATTTCTTTAACAAGTTCAAGTCAATTACACCAGGACTTCACTGCGCTTCGTCAATTACATCGAACCTTGACGTCACTTCGCTTCGCTTCGTTCTTTGGGTCTCACTTTGCTCTCCTCGACCTCCCTCTCCCTTATAGTGGACTCCATTTTGGCGACTCTGGTCTTGAATTGGGCTTTCATATTAGCTATCTGGTTATGCAATTCCAGGGCCTCCTCTTCCTTAGCCTTCAGGGCGGCTTCATGAGATCTCTTTAGCTCTGAAAGCTTATTTTCCCATTCTTTGGCAACCTTTTCAGCCTCCTTCTTGGCGTCCTTACTTGCCTTATCCAAAGCACTACGGACGAGGTGGGTACTAGTCAAAGCCTGTACAAAAGAGAACGGCAGTCAAGTCAAAGACGAAAAGAAAAGGAAACGAAAGAAAGAGTAGCACACACCTGCTTCCGCCAGGCGGCTTGAGAGCGGAGAATGGTATCCACCCCGTACTTATCGGCCGCCTTCTTATCCAAAGTTTCAAAAGAAGGTGGATAATAATGAAGCTTCGCAATTCTTTTTCGCGAAGATCGTATTTTAGTCGAGCTCTTTCTCATTCTTCTTTTGGTTTTCGTACAAGGAACTTCTCCTTTTCCTCTTTTCTCCCCTGTCCGAGGTGGTTGCACTTCAATCCGCACATAAGACGATTCCTCTTTCTCAAAGTGGAGGGTCTTGGTTAGAGATTGGACATCAATGGGAGGTACTTTGGGAAGGTTCTTAAGAAGTGCCAACCTAAGCCCATCTCTTCCTAAAGCCGACAAGTGGTCTAGCTTTTTTGGGAATCTTCTGAAGCTGATTCATTTTTTTTTGAAAAAAAAAGATGGCCCCTCTCCCTTTCTCTCGAGTAAGCTTCCCCTATGAAATAGATCGCGAGAATGCATGTTCTGATGCGGTGTGGCAATTCCACCCAGAAAGGAATGGCAGGTATGAGTCTGTTCTACGCTTTCATGCAGGGGACAGTTCTTTTACTCAGAAAGAAATCGAAGGCGACTTCTTTTTCGATTGTCGTCTTGAGTGCGTACATGGCCTTGCCGCAAACTTAATGGTAAGCAGGAGCAAACTGCCTGACTAAGATATCCGAGAAAGGGGCTAAGCCTTAGCTGTGGGAAGTACTTTTCCGGGGCTCGCAAGGAAAGAAGAGCGACCGCACCCCTTTGGCCTTCTTCATGGTACTGGTTTTACCGAAGGAAATAGAAGCCGCCGCCCCGCGGTAGCAGCTTGGCACTGCATTCGACTCATTCATACCGCTCATTCGGTCATTCAGAGGTAGGAGTTTAAGCTATATTTAGTAAAGGGGATAGGCACCCGGACAAAGACCCTCCGCGTCTGAGGTTAGTAGTTAGCCCTATCAAGTTTAAGGGGTTCGGGCATTGCTTTCCCTTTCTTTCCTATCTGGTACCATACAATAAGTTATAGCCAGAAAGGTTGGCCCCCTTACCAATAAAGGGCAAGAAAGTGATTCGTTCTTGGAGTCCTTTCTCTCCTTTAATGCTTCTTCCGGCAGCTTTCTAGCTACTTTCCTTCCTATTCCCGGAGGTTTGGTACCGCCTATCTAGTTTAGTCAGTACTTTATCTAGTTTAGTTAGTACTTTAGAGTTTAGGGTCTCTTCTCTTCCTTATGGGAATTCACTACTTATTTGATTGTTCTTGGAATTCTTATAGGCATATTTCCACAAGACTACGCTACCTTTCTTCTAGGATCTGCAGTTCAGGTTTAGGCTTTCATGGCTCTTTCTTTCGCTTGTTCCACGTTGCCATGGGTATCGAAACCCTGAGACTCCCATCACTTGTCAATGAGACAACCAATCCTAGAACAATTAACCTACCTTTTCTCTGGCCTTGTGGCCTATTCAATCTTGTTATTTAAGTACATGAGAACTTCAGTTGTAGGGGGCTAAAAGCGAGTTACTCCCCTCTACCATCAAAGGGTTAAAGATTAGTTGACACTAAACCAGACATAGCTTAGAGTTCTTTCTGTCTTAGGAACACTGCAGAAAGACTGCTTTGAAGTAGTAGATTAGGAGATAAGAAAAGAAAAAGGCGAGTGAGAGTCTCGTTTTCAAATGAATAAAGAATTCCGAGTTCAAAGTAATTTATCATTTACTTTCGTTCCCTCTTTTGATTCCATCAATTGCTTTATTTTTTCATTGACATTGCATCAAGCGAAAGGGAACTCAGCCTGCCTACCCTATACAGTTGGTCAATAAGCTACCCCCCCTCCTCGATGACTAGGGGAGGTCAATTACATCAAACCTACATTCAAAAAAGCCTTTTCTAGCTTAGAAATGCCAATCCTATCTTTGCTTTAAGCTTCAACTGGGCTTAGAGCTTTCTTAAAAAACTCTGACATGGAATGGGTGCTTAGTCATCTCAACGGTATTCTAATTCGACTCTTTCACCCTTGACCGAACCTCTTCTCTTGACCAGACTGAAATCCGGACTGTTGAGGCGGGAACTTATCTAACCCATTACGATTTCCTTGTCCAGGAAGAGAAAGAATGTCTCGCTATAGGACCTTGCTCTATCCCCAAGGATAGACATTTCTTCTTTTCCTCAGATTCTAGTTCTCCTAAGCTCCGTAGAAGAAGCCTATGGTTGACAAGCAATTCCATTATACTCCCTCAATTACACCTTTCCTTCACTTCGCTTCGCCAATACTTTTGACTTCACTGCGAAAAGTTTGTATGGTCGAGACAATTACATCGAACCTCACTCAACTAGTAAGACTTCGTAGCTCCGATCCTACAGCTAGAGTTCACTACTTTACTTAAATCCTTCTCTCAACCCTGGGAAATCTGTCCTTAAAGCATGACCCACAGAACTGAACGAAGACACAGGTACACTGAACCTTTCAAGCGAGTACGAGCCTCTGCCTAAGAAAGAGTCCCGCCCAGCTCTTTCTATTGATTACTACTCAAGTCAGGACTCGCGTTCGCACATCTCTTTTGAGAGGCTAAGATCTTTGTACCAGTACCTTTTCACTCTTAGCTTAGGAAAAACATATTGGTTCTTCTAGGCGTACTACTGAAAACAGTAGCATAAGGCTTGCAGACCATAGTTGGACTGCTAAACCGAAGCAACAAAGCCTTTCTCAATTCAACCGATTCTCGTTCTCGAAAAACCAATCTAACAATGTTGTTAGCCTGTGTACATGAAGAGAGGCTGGAACATCACTTGATGAAAGGCTTGATCTTCAGACCGAAGCCAGTGAGTTTGCGTACTCGAGTGAGCTTGGTGAAGAGTACTTAGCTTTGTAAAGAGCTTCTTCTGAAGCAAAGTGTTGAGTCCACGGATGGATTACCTTGCCTTAGGAAAGAGAGATGCTAGCTCTTCCAGTGGGTAAGCACTTCTCTTCTTGGCCTTGGGAGAGTTAGGTAACTTCAGGGTTCCCTATATATAAGATATGGCTGGCAGCTAGAAAGCTTATTATATATATCAAGTGTGGCGTCGGATAAGCCACTATGGTAGGCAAGAGTTTCAGTCCTGTGAGTATATTTTTGAATTGGATCTCGCGCATTTTCGGATCGGATAAGTAAAGACTCATCGCGGGGTCGGTCACAACCGTCGAAGAATAGTCGTACAAGGTTGCGCTAGCAATCCTTCTTTTTGATCGTGACATAAATTCGATATGTTAGCCAGTAACAGAGTCAGTTCAGAGGCCTTGCTAGCATCCGAAATTGGAACCCAACGAACTTTTCGAAGCGAAGTGAAGGATAAAATAGTAAGAGGTAATTGAGAGAAGAAAGAAGTCAAGGAGAATGAGAAATATAAGAATGATTCTGGGCGAGTCTGTTCTGTTTTTCACTCCTAGGCTAGCTTCTCAATTTCAAAAGTTTCATCTCATATAGCTGCAAAATGAAGCAACTGGATTTCTGCCCTATAGGGTCTTGGTCTTGCATGAAGGCGATCTACTTTTCACTAGTGATATGGCAATCACGATGGGTTCGGGTGAGCGTCTGTCTCAAAGCTCTCTGCTCAAAGCCTTCATCCCCAAGAATCTTCTTCACGCAGATAAAGGTGGTAGGCTAAGCCCAAAATCCCGGGTTTCTTGAAAGGAAAAGGAGAGCATCGGCAACATCATTGTGCTTCCCTCCTCCCGGCTCTCTCTACGCGTGATCCAACGCCGAGAACGAGAAAAGCCGGCTGCTAAACGTAGAAAGCGACGATGGCTCCATTCTCCAAACTCTTCTTTTGACTATGATTGGGCTTTATTAAAAAAATCTGAAGAAAGTAGTTCAAATTTATGACTTCACTTCGCTTCTAAAGATTACATTGACCTTTGGTCTTTAACTGAACTCAATTACCTCTCTCCTCTCCTTGTAAGTCGAGACAATTACATCGAACCTTCGCCTCCTTCCCGTTGTTCACCTCAACCACCCCCTCTCCCTTCTTACTGTTTTTGCTCTGTTCTACACTATAAGGAAGGTCGTCATTTTCTTACGGGATGGCACTCCTCGTTGGCTGCCCGGCTCGCTCTGTACAGTTGGGTGGCTCTACTATTTGATCTAATGGGCTCCATCAATTCCTTCGGTACTTTATAAGATAGGGGAAGGGACCCCTTTCGCCTATTGTTTCACTCGTCCCTATCGCCCTGCCTGTTCTTAGCATTGCGGATAGAAAGTCACCTATAAAACCCTTCGTTTCAAAACTAGGAAGCGTAACAATACGTCCCAGCTTCTTAAGGAATACTTGGGCATATTTGCCTGGAGTTAGGCTGAGATGCCTGGGCTAGACCCTCTTGTCGCCGTCCACAGGCTTAATATCAAACAACCAGATGCTAAGCCCATCAAGCAAGCGCAACGACGCTTTCCATCCACTAATAACAATAGAAGAATGATAGGCTCATAAGGGGCCATTTACAGGCCAAGGCCCCTCCTCATAAAGAAGATTGATAAANAGAAGTTAAAAAAAAAAAAAAAGAATGAACTCTTAACTGACCTATTGCATAAAAAAGAGCTCTTTCTTTTTCACTTTCCTTCACTGCGCTTCGCTTCGTTTGTACCTTTCAGTCGTTTAAGCTTGCTCCTTTTCCTTTCTACGCGTAGATCTTTTCCTGGCCTTACCTTCTTTCAATCGTGGAAGCTGTTTACAAAATCCATCTTTCTTTCCCTGGAACAAGGAGTCAAAAGAGGTCAATTACATTGAGCCTCTCCTGGCAACGTCAAGTCTCACTTTGCTCTCCTAGGCTTGGGAACGGGGAGATTTCTTCCTTCTTTAGCCTACGGCTGAGCTCTGCTCCTCACTTGATAGAGGAAATATCTGACGCGAATGCGATCGGACTAAGAAGACGAGTGAGGGTTTCCCGGTCAACTGCCCTAGAGACAGATGCCGCTAATGGGGTCGTTGTTCCTACTTTTGTTGAATCTGCAGCTAATGTTCCTTGGTCGGCTGCTAATGCAGCTAATGCCGCTACGGGCCAAGCAGTTTGAAGTCTTTCGTATCTTTAGCCAAGGTTTAAAGATCTCGACCATACAAACGAAGCGAAGCGAAGTTCAGTCATAGAGGAGGTTGGGTACCGATAAACTCCTAGATCGAAAGGTTAGAAATCGGCCAACATGACTGGCACTAGTTGCGGAGTAGTAAAAGGAATAAACTTATACCCTGTGAACAGCCCCTAAAGTCCGACCTTCCGTTTGCGACTTCTTCCTCTCGCTCATCAAAAAGGCTCTTTCAAGGGTTAGCGATGATTACGACAATAGGATCGATGTAATTGAGATTCTCGGTTCCAAAAGGTCAATATCAGGAAAAGACCCACCAACGGTTGAATCAGAGGAGGAGTATCAAAGTGGTCTCGTCCACTGAAGATGAAGAGTGCGAAAGTGGTTCCATCTGCTGATTGAACCAATAATAACTTAGAGAGCGCATCAAGATTAAGAAAGAGTTGTGATTATGTAATAAGGGAACTTCTTAGCCACTTTAACTGCTAATTGTCCTAAAGTCTAATTTCTTCTTTTTCAGGGTGAGTCTTATCGACGGATCTGCTTGGGAACATCGAATGCACGTGTCTGTCTCGGGACCCTTTGTTTCAATCTTCTGTTCCTAACAGGTGTTATTAATATGAAAGAAAAGAAGTCTGACCCAACGAAGCGAAGCGCAGTGAAGTCAAAGAGTGAAAAAGGAAGGGAGAGGAAGAATCAAGCAAGAAGACAGAGGAACGAACGAAGCGAAGCGAAGTGAAGTCACCGCGTAGTGGGGGAGAGGAGCGAAAATCTGGTAGAAATTCCCCTTTCCCACGCCACCAATCGACGAATGCTGAGGAAGGCTCGATGTAATTGAGATGTAACCAACCACAATACACCACCCGAGCCTACTAAAAAGAAAGTGGAGAGTTCAATCAGTGGAATTAGAGAAGCAATTCTTCCTTTGCCTATGATCTTTATTCGGTTGAGAAAGATGGGTTCTATCCCAGGATTTTGAATACTCGTCCCTGTGTTGTATTATGCCGTCAAGAAAGATCGTATGAGAAGAAAAAGAACACCCCGGTAGCTAGAATGGAACACGCAGGTCTTAGCAGAACCAAGAAGGGCTCCCTTAGCTAGCTCAAAGGTCAGAGGCGGATCGTCGGTAATGAAATTCTGGTTACAACTGCTCTTATCTTATGATTGACCCTTCACAATAGAAATTGTTTCGACTCCCGTTAGGTAGTAGTTCCTTTCTCTTATGCCCTTTCTGCCTTCTTCCTATGACTGAACTTCGCTTCGAAAAGTTTGTTCCCTTCTTTCTTTACTAGCATCCTTTATTCTTCCTTGCTTACCTTCTTCTTATCATAGCTCTTCCCCTTCGAAAAGTCAAACCTTCCTCTCCTTTCAGTCGAGTATATTTAAACCTCTCCTTTCAGTCGAGATTCTTTTGTCTATGACTGAAAAAAGCTTCGTTTGTAGGGGACCTAGACTCTTCGTTGGTTTGCTTTCCGGTCTCTTGTTGACAAAGACATAAGAAAAGTGGTCAAGGGGAGAAGCGCCCTATCTACAGAGGAGAGACAGCCGCTCAAACACCATTCCATTGGTGGAGTCCGTCTCGACCACGAGAGAAAGCTATGCGAGTGGATTTCTTCGACTCAACCTTGAATCTCAATTATGCTGGAAAGTCTTGACTTGAGGCGAGCGAAGTGAGGTCAAATAAAAAGCAAACCTCCGGAAAGCGGGAAAGTTGTATAGTAAAGTACATTTGTTTCGGCACCTCCCACTTATCTAGGGCCAGAGGAGAGCAAAGTGAGACTTGACGTTGCCAGGAGAGGATAGATGTAATTTAGAGGTCTCGACCCTACAAACAAAGCGAAGTGTACGAACTTTTCGAAGCGCAGTGAAGTCAAAGAGCTCCTTCTCCGGGCTTGTGAGACGCGACTATAAAGGTACAAACGAAGCGAAGTCAAAGAGCCCAAAGCGCAGTGAAGTCTCTGGAAAGGAAGGTGTAATTGAGAAAGACCGGTCAGAAAGGGAACGGAACTATTTTGCCTTGAATGGACCACTCCTATACTATAGTATAGAAAAGAAGACCTAACCATTCTCTCGATCGGATGGAAAGACATAAAGATATACTTACCAACAAGTCTTTTCTAATAGCTCCGCTGCGTACCTTCCATTTCACACACTTATTTTATTAGGTCTAGCCCGTATCTCCGCTCTTTCTACCTTATTGTCTTGTCCCCTAGGAGCCTCCAAAGGTCAATTACATCAAACCTTTAGTTTAGGGTCAAGCCTAAAACTTAGTCGGGTACTCAATCCCGGTTGGAAACTCCTTACTGCATCCCAGGAAGAGAAAGAGCATAAGAACCTGGGGGAAAGCTCTAGGTCAATTACATCGAACGAAGCGAAGTGAAGGAAAGGTGTAATTGAGAAAAGAAAAAGCACCTCCCTCCTGGCTAGCCTTGCAAGAGCGGGTGTGCGGGAGAATAGAACTGAGCTTCAAGGCTGCAAGACAGAAGGTTACATAGTTCGTGCAGGAAATTTGACCGTCCATTGGGTATTTGTCTCGAGATCGCTCCCCCACCAACTCATACTTATGATAGGCGGGCTCAATGCCAGTACCTCTGGAGATCCTTCTTTTGAATTCCCTCAGTTGTCTTCCTTAGTTCCTACCTTCAATTCATGAAGCAGATCGCCGGGAAGGCGGCTCACGTCATAAACCCTTTATTGGGGTTTGAAACTCGAGAAATAACGCATGATTTTAGCCTTTTAGCGATTCCCGAATGCTTTTGTTTTGAATTCGGAGGCGTATGCAGAGAGAGGTCAGCTAAATGCGGATTGACGCCAGCCAGCTTTCGGGAGGCCTATATTAATCAAAATTACTGCTGAAGTAAGGAACGAACGGAACGGTAGGGCTATTTCGGGACGGACGGAGTTGAACGCACCTCCAGTTAGGAGTGCCAAGGTCAAGGCTAAGCCTTAGTCGAATTCATCCATAGTCGCCTTCTTGACACTATCAACCTCAAAAAACGAAACTATCCACTTTTACGCATTTACGAATGGTAGAGGAAATTGATTCGTTTTTTCCTCTTGCCTTTAATCACCGGCCTATTCATCATCTCTAAAAGAAGATATGCGGGGGTGCAGAGCTAAACAAGTAAAAACGGACTAAATGGTTAAAATACATCGTTTTAACGACGGTTTACTGTCTTAGGTCTGTCGCAAGGGTGCTAAAGGTGGCGTTTTTTCATTAGTAAAATTAGCACCTCTTCTTTTGCCTTCTTAAGTCGGGTGGGAGCCAGCGTCCCATATCAACTAGCCGTATCAGCGGTAGGCGTATGCTATTGATCTCGGGAAGGAAGAGTCTGACCCCTCGCAAATTCGACTCCTCAGTTGCTCCTCAAGACATTGATTCGTTCCATCAGTTGATTTCCGACCTATGGAAGATCTTCCACTTCTCTTCGCCGAAAGAGCACCTTTTTAACGGTTCCCTGATCTGAGATCGCCTTTCTTCAATAGAAGACTGGCCAATGATAAGAATTCGGCTTAGGCGTGAGGCATACTTCTCAACGTTAAGCTTTAATGCGAACTAGTGAACTATCTTACCTTTTCTTCAGTCATAATACCCCTCAGAAACCAGTTGTTGACTCGAGGGTAAACCTATTCCTTTATGACTTCACTTCGCTTCGCTTCTAAAGTTGGGGATAAAAGAAGTGAGTCTTTCAAGCAAGCTTTCGGCTAGTTGATTGCCAGCTAAGGAAGTATGTGCTTTAGCAAGAAGAGGCGGAGAACTCTCTTACCCACGTTCACAATCTTTCTCTAAGTCCTATCTGGCACAAAGCTCTCAGTCAGCAAGAAGAGGTAGGAAGGTGTAAGATTAGACCATGAGCTATTACATGCTTGGTTGTCAGCTGACGTTCTCCTCAGCCTGTCCGAGTGCTAAGACTGAGATTTGAACGCCTTCTCTCTATGGCCATCTTGGTAGGTTGGCTTCTTCTCTTAGTTTTCTAAGCGTAAAGGCTAAGCTCTTCTAAATTACATCTATCCTCTCTGCGTAAAGGCTAAGTTGATGACTGATCTTTCTTCACTTGACAGGATGGTGGTAAGCTGAGATTCAAGTGGCACTCAAGAAAGTGATTAGTCTTTACGGGAGATAGGGATATTGAATTTCAGATAGTGAACTCTAAACTCAGGCTCCAAAGAGCCATCTCCATGCCTATCAGTGATCTTTTTGCCCAAGGGGCGGATCATTGCTTGTTAGCTCGGCAAGGTCAACGCTAGTAGCCCGCTCTGGTTTCTGAGATTGATGTGCGGCTTACAGATACTGAAATTCATGCAGGTGTGGACGAAGTTGACGGAAATCGACCACCTACAACTCTGTTGTTAGGCTTTCCTTCTTCTGTTCATAAATAGAGTTTTTTGGCTGGCATGGCACTCGTAGTCTTACGTGTTGGGAGTAATAGGTTTAGGCTTGAGCCTTCCATGGGTGCCGTGCAACAATCGAAAAGTCTTTCCGGCTGACGCATTAGGTTTTCGAGACGAGAATAGGTCCTAACTAATGAAATGGAAGCTCAATTACATCGCCCCAACGAACGAAGCGAAGCGAAGTGAAGTCATAAAGGAAGCTAGTTTCATAGTGGTCTTACGCTCCTCTCCTTGCAGTTCCTTTCAGTCGAGTAACTTTACTAGTTTACTTTAGCTAAAGCGAGTTTACTAGTTCTCAACAATTCAATAGAAGCTTGAGCTCCCGGTCGAGCTGCTCTCCTTTTAGTCTCGTAACTTCGTACCATAGCAGTCGAGTAAGAAAGTACCAGGTTAAAGTTTTCTTCCGGAAAAGAGAAATTCAATGAAATACTACAAGAAGCTAGTTTAGTTTACTAGTGATTAGTCCATGCTTAACACAGATTGTTTGATTCAATGGAAGCGAGCTATCTTAATAGACTAACTTTCAGCTGTGAAATGATATGAAATGGTTTGTTCCAGCTTTCCTCTTTCCGGCCTTTCCTTCTTAGCTTTCTAGTGCGTTGTTTTAGGGCTTAGGGATGGGGCTAGTCAATAAACCTTCTTTACCTTCCCCCGGTCCCGAGCCTCCTTCCCAGCTCTCTGTCCCTATTCCTCTCGAAAAAGGGCTGATTGAGGGGTGATGGTAACCTCTTTAGTTGGCTGCTGGGTTCTTAGGGTATTCTTCGGCTTGCCTTCTTCCCCATTAGAAGAGTTCGTGAGTAAAGTGATAGACCCGTCTTTTAGACTCCTCTGCATGCGGGCAGCTTCTTCAAAGAGTTGAGGAAATGTTCGGCAATCTCCTAGCACCATCGCTTCCTTGATTGCATTGAATTACAACTGTAATAAGTTAATTTCACAGCTTAAAGTAGAAGGTTCGATGCAATTGACTCGACTTAATAGTGGAGGAACTAGATGTAAGGGCACTCTCAAATCCCCTAATGCCTATCCCGATCCCACCGCTCTTTACCCTGATGTAAAGTAAAAGCTTGAAAACGAGTTGGCTTGATGAGATGGCTTCCACTTTTTCAATTGAGAAGGTGGGCTGAATTGAGCTAATGAGATTGAACAGGTACGAAGTTAGTCGACCACCGGGAGCAGGAAGCAAAAAGTTGAATTGATCGGGAGTGAAATCTTTCTAATGCGATTTTCCCGACGAAAAGAAAAAGAAGAGAGAGGGTGCGACAGGTCTTTACCCTTGTGCTTGCTTTCTGCAAGAAAAAGAAAGACGTAAGCTTAATTCTAAGAAATAAGTAAGTGTGAATAGCAAGGTACGTAGTCGCTTTAGCGAAGCTTATGGGCAGAGAATGCAGAGTAAGCAATCGAAGCTGCAGAGAAGGAGAGTAGAGAAGCTTGCAGATAATGCAAAGGAGAGTAAGCAATCGAAGCTTGCAGAGAAAGCTGGCTAAGTAATCGAAGCTTGCAGAGAATGCTCTCGGGTATACTTTGAAGTCATTACTTTAATTAATTCAGCTAGCTCATCAATAAAATGATGTAGGTAATCTGGATAGCTAAGTACTTAGCTAACTAGTACTGTAAGGGCTAGCTAACTCTTTTACTCAAAGGAAAGAAGGTAAAGAAAAAGAAGTCAAGATACTTAGCTTACCAAGAGTTCCGGAACTAGAGAGATAAGAGATAGGATTTCTTCCCCATACGAGGGAAAGTGCTTTTCGTCTATCTGATATCCTTGACCTGAGTCTTGGAGTCTCGGTTTTAGCGATATTCCATCCTTCTCTATCTGCTCTCCTTCCTTTTCCTTTGTGCCGAAGCCTAATCCCATGTTGTAACTTAAGTTTACGCTTATAACAATTGGTGAAGTCGAACTCGAAATTTCGTAAGAGAAGAAAGTAGCCTAGAGCAGATTCAAGGTATCGTAGCTGTGCTGTCAGTAAGAGGGGAGCCGGCGACTGAAGCCCCGGTGAACGGCGGCCGTAACTATTGCGTAAGGTAGCGAAATTTCTTATCGGGTAAGTTCCGACCTTCCAAAAAGGTAACGGAGGAGAGCAAAGTGAGACTCTAAAAACTTTTCGAAGCGAAGCTTCTATGACTTCACTTCGCTTTGCTTCGTTCGTTGGGGAGAGGAGAGGGTAATTGACTTGATTGGCCGATTTCTTAGGGCAGTGTAATGTACGAAACGACTTCTCCGACTGATCCGAGTGTGACTGGGGAAGGACAAATCCACTTTCATAGATTCTTCGACCAGACTCAGCCAACTCTTTCTTTGTTGGGATGATGGTAGGGGTGGCACAGCTTTCGAAAGAGATAGGCGGAGGAATGGGGCTTTCAGCTCGCAGTTCTCTTGACTGGCTTCTTGCCTGGAATCGACGTTATAGAGTAGGACTAGAAGAGACGTAACTTCAGGGAGTACGAATTCGATCATTGTAACTTTATAGATGGAGAACTTCCTTTCCGGTAACTCGCTCGCGCCTTTCCTACCAAAAAGCTAACCCAACCGAAGTAGCAAGCTTAAACCAAGGGCTGTCAAGAATAGCCTCCCTTTCTTCCCCTGTTCCGGAGATAGATATAGCCCTCTCGAAACCTAGCTGTGTGAGTTGCATTTGAAGATAATATGCAACTTCATCCCCGCTCCAAGCCAAGGGTCCGAAGGAGAAGGGTACTGGTCCTGCTCGCTTTGGTTCTGCTTCTGTGGTGAAAAAGGAAAGACGTTTGCATCTCTAATCTCCCCCTATTCGTCATCTTCTCGCTATGATAGAACTTATGGGTATTCTAGATCAGTCTATTTCAGTACAATAGTTCTTCTTCTGAAATTGGAAGACTTCAGTGAGAGAGTGAAAGACAAGAATCAATATGAAGAAGGTTAAATACGATGCACACCTTCAAGATTCCTCTGAAATTAGCCTACTAAGTCCAAGACCACAGCCATACTGATTAATATAGGCTCTGAAAGAACACAGACATACATTAAGTCAAGAGACTTGAATGACCGTAGCAATAGTTCATTGAAAGAAAGCCCTCAATTGAGATTCAAAATTACTACCCTCTCTTTTCCTTCACTTCGATTCCATTCACTTCGTTCTGTTAGTCTCACTTTGCTCTCCTTCATTCAGAGAAGTCGAATGAAACCACCATCATAAGGCGCCTTCTTTGTGCTTTGTAAGGCCTATATCGAAATTGACATTCATCCCCCTATACATTATGACACCCCTAACCCTAACGCGCGAAGTACGAGTAGTAGTAAGAGGATGACCTAGCCCTACCTGACTTAGTTGCTTACTTCCCTATCAATCTAAATGGGGACAGAGAGAAAGGTCAGATGCGAGCGAAGAAGTCACAAGAGGAAAAGAAAAGAAGAGTGGAGTTGGAACCTTAGTCTGCCGCTATCTTTCATCCCTTAATTGCCTTATCTTTTCTTTTTCTGTTGTAAACCGGCCTCTTAGGATCTTCTCGCCGTAACCAGTATATAGGCTTATCTGCCCTTTCATTCGCATTATCGTATCGTGAGCGGGTCTGGTGAACTACCCTTTCACTGGTTCTAGCTACTATTGGATTTGAACCAAGAAAGTATTCCCAACGAACGAAGCGAAGCGAAGTGAAGTCCTGGTGTAATTGACCTTGAGCCAAAGGAAACTCTAAATTACCTGATTTCCTTCCTTCTTCAATGTTACTTCTATTAATTGTCATTACGACCGGCTATTGCCATTTCCTTTATTGAATTGAATTGAACCAGAAGAACCATCGAGAAAGAAAAGCTTTCGTCATAGTCACATCGATATGAGTGCTTTCTATAGGAAATGCATTCCAAGGACTCCCTTTGCTTTGCACAAAACGCATATTTATCCACCAGTTGCTCCGCATGTTCGATATCTGCGCTAATCTCCCAAAAATCTTACAAAGCGGCACCCAACAGCATTTCACGCGCCGACAGCTCTTCGGCTTGCTTGAGAAGAGTTTCACCTGGAGTACAACATTATATACCCAAGGTCAGTCAAAAACAATATAGAGGAGGAAGTAAAGAAGCTGAAGCAACTCTGCAAAGGATGGCTCGTGCTGGAAGAACATGTCGATCGAGGCTAGGGTTTTGAAAGAGGAGATGCAAGAGGGGTCACCATTGTTTACTTTTCATGCCGGCGGAAGCGAGTTACGGCTTTGCTTCTTTCGTGATTCACGTAGATTGGAATTCACTTTCTTTAGGAAAGAGAAGAGTGAAGAAGAAGTCGGAAGCAGTTCATCGCCTGTGGGAGCTTGCTGATAGTAAGGAAGCCATAATCTTTCTATCGGATTGCCTATTTGTCTATCTGTCTGGTGAAGAGAGAATGTAATATACTCTCAATAGGGCAAGCACCCAATACCTCGTAGAGTCCAAAGCTCCTGCTCAAAGAGTTCAGGAAGACCAACCATCTACACTTGATTAGCTACTGTGCACTTCACCAGAACATGGTCTATGTCCTCCACTACCCCTTCACAAACATAAAAAAAACACTGAGACAATGGGAGCAAATTCCTTGAGACAAGAAGTTCGTTCTCTGCACGGAAGTCTATTCCAATAAATAAGCTTTCCACCACAAAAAACGGAACTACGGGTGAGAGAAGGAACTATGATAAAGCTTTAGTGGAGGTGCGCCTTCTTCCCTTCTGGCGAACAGAAAAGAGAGATACGAAGGAGTAATGACGAAAGGTTGATTGTTCGTATGTTCAGTGATGGCGAGCCTTCAACCAATAATAAATACCTGAAAGAAGATGCGTAGGCCTTCAATCATGGTGCAATGAATATCGTAGATAGAGTGATGGAAGAAGTTCGATCTCATATAGCTAGCTGGAGTCTTTCCTTTCAAAGTGAAACGATTTTCCTTTTACGTTGAGATATTTGAATTGGATTTTCTTTCACCACTACTATCGTAACGCACAGAAAACACTGACGTTTCCGCTCGCTTTCAACCACTGCCATAGAAAGAGCAGCGACTAACTAAAACCAAGGAATCCATCATCTGGCGTATTGGCAATGGGCGAACTGTCCGGGTGTGGCGTGATCCGTGGATTCCCAGAGCCAGCACTCTAACCAACTGAGCTATATCCCCTCCCCTTTTGGATAAAAACAGTAACCTGATGACGGTTGAAGCACATCACCTTATAGATGAAAAAGAATTCCAGTATGTGCTGTGCTTTGTAAGTTCTAATAGGCTGGTGGAAGACCCAAACCACAATCAGGCTCATCAACCTCAAGCTACTTATAAGCCACTTTCAAAATCAGGTCTGCAATGCCATACTTATGGAAAGTTCAACCATACTGCCTTCCAATGCCGGCAGGCACGCCTGGGAAGAACACTTCCTGAAGAAATGAGAGAGGGCAGTTGAAAGAAAGCTTTAGGAGATGGCCTACTATGCATGACTCTTTGCTGTGTAGTGAAATACTATACTCTTTTGTGACTCTAAAAATTAGAGGTTACTTTCTCTACCTTTCTTTTTTATATAATTCAAAAAAGAATACTTTACTTTCTTCATTCATTTCATTTATCATTTCCTTTCGCTAAACAAGCAAGAGGCAAGGGAAGTTGGAAAAGAATCTCTCTCCATCTCTATGGGATTATTTGTAGGAAAGAAATCTATAGTCAAGGGGTCTTGTCGCACATAAGTAGTGATTTCTTCCTCTACCACAGGAATGACAGGGGCAAGAACAACGTTTCAAGCTTTGGTTTCAAGATAACGTATTAGTCAGCTAGGCATGGTCAAGTCTTTTATTGGTTATGTTCTACTCCGCGTCCTGCCTGGTAAGTCAGTTAGCTATCATGGGGCAGTTCGAATGGTAGTAGCCTTTTTATCTTCTTGCAGTGCCAGTGAGAGAGAGGAAACTTTCAAGGACTGACTTTCCGTTGACACCTAGTTGTTTCCTGCTGCTCGTCTCACGACTGGGTCAAAGCAGGGTCCAACCAATCTACGGATAGAATAAAGCAATCGTCAACCGAAACAAGATGAACAGCTCCGTGGGTTTTCTCGGATCTCGAATTTCATGATTGCAAAGAAAAAAACTAGGCAAAGGAATTCTCAAAGTTCATTGAGTTAAGGGAGGACCATTCGTGGGGGGTTCGATTCCCGTTATACGCGATGTGGCGAAAAAGACTGATTCAACGAAATATGCCATGCCTGCATTAAGATTTAAAACGTGTCGTCTACTTCCAGGAAATGTTCGGAACAGAGAACTTACAATAATACAACGCCGCATTCTCCGAAGATTGAGGAACAAGAGGAGATCCATTAAAAGAAATCTTTCTCAGAGAGAAAATCTAAACAGTAACATCAAATCACAAACTACACGAAAGTTGTCCCTTTATTGGTGGGATTTACCCATAAGTAAGATGCACAGAGGAAGAGAACGAACTTCATATATCCCTTTTTTACTCAATCAAGAAACAAGATCGGACGTGATTCCGGTTCGTCTCCGTTTTAGTGACACTCTTCCTCAAGCAAGGCAGCCGATAAGTCATCGAAGGGTTTGTTTGAATAATGGACTGGTAACCATTACTCATTTTAAAGTTTCCCATGGTGATCTAATATCTTTTAAAGAAAATGACGCGAGAAAAGAAAGCATAACTAACGAAAGAAAGATAGAACCAGATCCTTCTTTAAAAGAAAGCACTTTGCCTTCTCCTAAGTGGTTTTATTTCCGTCTAATGCTCCTTCTACCAGCAATAGGTTATGCTAGCTGGTTGAATTGGCCAGACGGACTCGAATTCTTTTTCGAAACCGTACCCGCCATGATCTCCTGCCTTTATTATTTAGTAATTCAAATGAGGGAAGACTTGTGCAAATCTATTTGCGTTGGTTTATCCAACGTGTAACTAATGAACAACGGAACGGAAAGAAGCGAAGCGAAGTTAAGGAAAGGAGAAGACCAAAGGTCAATGTAATCGAACGAAGCGAAGTGAGGGAATTAGCTGCTACGAAGCTACTGATACGAAAGGTACGAAGTAGCTCGACTTCAAGGTACAAACGAAGCGAAGCGAAGTTCAGTCAAAGACCTTTGTTCGGACGAGAAGCAAGAGTAGCTACCATTCTTCCTTCTATTGGCTGTCTTCGGCATCTGTACTACCACTGGCTATTCTTTCTCAATGGCTTTCTTAAAGCAGGAGCGCACGCAGTCTAGCTTTTCAGTAGAAATAGGGAATTCCTAATGTTCGCTTTCAGAGCTTTCTCATGGGTCAGCTGTAAGCTGTAAATTGACCTTCTCGCTATTTCGATCTTGAATTTTCGTATTTTAATTACATGTACGAAATCACTCATTTACATCGCTCTCAAGTAGACTCGGAACTCTTCACTTCTGTGCCTAGCGTAAATCTAGAACTTAGCAATATGATTGGGGTCCAGCTACGCCATCAATTAAGGTCAAGGAAAGGTCGGATTCTCTACCTATCACGAGAGAGGGACTTGAGATCATCGGAAGGAACTTTGGATCGTGTTTGGAGAAGTACGAGAGTTTTCTCTGTCCTATGAAGGTTTTTTTCTATGCTTTATGTTGGTCAACAACCAACCGCAGCTCTAACTAAACATGGAGCAAGAAGGACGATGCTTTCCAATAGAACAACTGCCTGCCTTGAATCTGAGTTTGCTTACCCTCGCAATGTAAGGGGATTTCGAGCTCTCAATGTAATCGACCCAACGAACGAAGCGAAGCGAAGTGAAGGAAAGGATCGACAAAGTTGACCTCTCCTTTCAGTCGAGTCCTTCAAAAGGAAACTACCTTCCACTGGGGGTATCCACCGCACCCACCGTGGAGCACGCGCAACCGTTATGCGACCATTAGCCCAAGCGAAGGTTTAAGCTTGCTCCTAAGCTCAAAGAGTATGCAACCACCTGAGAAAGAGAGGAAGGATAACAACCCGCCATGACTCGGTTGCATCTTTCTTTTCCATAAACCCCTCAGGGTCGAGATAAATAGAGTCCCCCAACTAGTACCACCAACCTCGCGTATCCTTGTGGCAGTTTTTCTTCACCCAATCTAACAAAGGCAGCCCCGAAAGTTGCCTGAGTCGGATACCGCCGATCCTCCACCAAACCATAAGTGCTTTCGAACAAAATCGAAAGACATGATCAGAATCTTCCACCAAATTGCCCGCAAATATCACAGCAATCCTCCGTCCCTTTCTTTTTCGCAAGAAGTTCGTATGTTGTTTCCCTTGAACAAGAGACCAAAGGATAAATCTCACTCTTTCAGGTTTACCGTAGGCCAAACCCAATCAAGATTAGGACCCTAGCTTGTGTAGCCTATGCGAAGCAAGCCCACACTGGCTCTCAATGAGTTTATGGGAGGAGAGCAAAGTGAGACTCGACGTCAAGGATACAAACTTTTCGAAGCGAAGTTCAGTCATAAACTATGGCTATGGGCCACGAACGGTAGAGGAAGAAAGGGCAAATCGAGACTAGAGGTCAGCGCTTTCTCTTTGTAAGAATCCTGTTCTCCCGGCGGTTAAGGTGCAGATCCCGCTATGAATGAACAGGAGCGAACAGACAGACTTTCACTTCTACCGGGGCCGTTGGTTCCACTCGAGAGGAAGGAGCTTTTATGGAAGCAGCGGCTATAGGAATTTTTTCCAGCCGTGACTCATCTTTCAAGCCGGTTGATGGCAATTCAAAAGAGACGATCAGGTCAATTATATCGAACCATTCTATCATTGATTCTTTCTAACAGTCCGGAGGTTAGTCTTTTCGACTGACGGCTTCATGGTCCGAGTCAGGCAAAGAAGAAGAAGAGCTTCATTTCATGCCACTCATAGGCAGAGAAGCGGATCGGGCACTCTCACATAGCGAGCGGAGAGTACGGAACCTTCTGAATCAGATTACTCGCCTGGGAAAACCAGCTCTGACAAGCAAGCCAGCCTTAGTTCAATAAGCCCCGGTGCTAAGCCGCAATAAGGATTCTAAGCCGCGAGCAAAAAGGATCGAATCGCCATCGAGGTTCCGTCCACTTTCCCATATAGGGATACCAGAGCAATACCATGGAGGTACGACTATCGAGTGGTCCCTAAGAGCCCTGAGGACACTAGTGCACCTGTGGCTGTAACCAATATATCCGGGGTGAGTGGACAGGACGGATTGAAACTAGAGCTAAAGCAAATCGCTGGTGAAAGTTTTCAATTCAACCTTCTCAACCTAAAAGAGAAAAGGAAGAAGGCTCTCTTTTAAACAAAGATAGAGTCTTTAAGCCACTCTTCTAATTGGCTATTTCCGATCGGATGTTTGAAGTCAATGAGAAAAGAATGAGATTCTTTCTTGAGTCAAACAATAAGAGGGTGCCGTCCTTCCACTAAGCCTTCCTACCTATATTCAAATCAGTACAAAGGCAAGTATCTATTTGGAGGGAAAAAGATAAGGCTCGATGTAATTGACCACATGGCCGCTAAAAATAAAAGAAAAGTCTTATGATACCAATCGGACACACTTGGAAAAAGGAATCATCAGCTAATAATACAGCTGGATCAAAGGAAAAGAAGTGAAAAAGCAGAAAGAAGTCCATGTGAGAAAGCAAAGTAACGAGGCGACCGGAGGAGGGAGAAAGGGGAAAGGGGGTGGCAAGCAAGTGAATGTGATACCGCCCTTCATCTTGACACTGAATCTTGATCCTAGAAGGAGAAGGCTCCCGACTAGTTCTTGCGGAGATTCCATTAAGTGAATAAATACCTTCCCTTGGGAAGCGCTATTCCAGCAATTGTTTCAGTGTTGTCCACGGGTCGAGACACTACCCTACCATTTGAAGCGAAGAGGATTTGTTCAGGAGGCCGGTTTTCTTCCTTTGACTGACGGTTAGATAGAGAAAATGCTAGCTAAAAGTTGTCCCTCCCACCACCCGGAAGAAAAGAAGCAGATGCTTCATTCTATTCTTTCTATCCCAGCCCAGAGGGAAAGATATGAGGAGCTAGCCTTCTTTCATTTTTCGAGATATGCTTAGTCTTATTGGAAAGTCTGATGTGACCAAAAAGGGCTTAAGTTGAATTGACTGTGAACGAATGGGCAGCTGGGAAAGGCAATGAAATTGTTGAATCAATTCCAAGTGAGAAGGAAGGGGGTCCCGTATTTAAAAGAAATGGCTGCTTTTAGGCGTGATCTATCTCTCTGCTTTTCATAGTCAAGATAAGATGTGCCCGTGGGAAAAGACTGTCTCTTTATGGAGAGACTTCTCTTTCTCAGATTCAAACGCGGGATCTCCTGTTGATCCGTAGGGGGTCTTAGTTTTTGCTGTTACAGAATCCCGTGCTACGAATGAATCTAGTCACCATCTGATTTAGCTCTTTTTAGTATGGAAATGGCTTAAGGAAGCCAATGACTCGAGTTCAATTAGTTTGGCTAAGCCGGCAAGAGAGATGGAGTCACTAAGCCCTAACGTTAGATCCATTATCTCACAGAGTGAACGAGATTCGGATCAATCATAAAAAAGTCAAGTAGGACAGAACCATTCGCTGCGAACAAGTCTTCTTTCAGAAGCAGTTCTCTTATCCGCTCTTGTTAGCTAGGGATTCTGTGTTGAAGCTCATCAAGCAAAGCGTGTTCTTGAACAACTGAATCGCCTTCCTTCAAAGGAACATCGGAATGCTTTACTCACAAGACTGTTCGAAGCTTCCCATAGCATTTCGGTGGAAAGCTTGGACATTGACAACATTGTAGGGAACATCATGGCTAGTAGCTCCATTGCATTCACTGATGAAAAAATTCCCCCAGAAGAACGAGGTCTGGTCTCTCGATCCTCCACATTCCAGTAAAATGGAAAGGATATAGCCTTGCAAGAGTGCTTGTTGATAATGGCTCGGCAGTGAAGGCTCGATGTAATTGACCCCACGTTGATGAAATTGCCAATTCATATGTCATATATGCAACCTAGTTGGTTGATAGTAAAAGCTTTTGACGGGATAAGAAGATAAGTCATTGGTTTCAGAGTCCACTGTCTTTGTTGTCTCAAATCAAAGTCTCTTTTGTCAATCCGGGGCAATACGAGTGGCATAATTTCTTTATTAGAAACGGGCTTTCGATAAGCAATTGGAGGACTACCGATTGACTGATTGACCCCGATAATCTAGGTCGATAAAAAGCTTTGCACGATTATATATTCCCTTCCAGGTCAATGTAATCGAGCCTCGCGGGCAGGTTATCAATAAAACTAGAAAAACTAGGTTGCTTCCCATGGTTTGTTTACTTCCCACGCTTTCCACTACGAGAAGAAGTAGAAGAATAATTCCTACTCGCAGGCTAACTAGTAGAACTAGAAACCCAATTACCTTACTTCCCTTAAGGGGAAAAAGCAGGTTTCATTTTCATATGCTTAATCACACATGTGATTTGAGAAGTCAAGCACCTTGTTTTGGTGTTGTTATTCCGGAGGTGAGAAACCTATTTCCCAACCTGGTTCTATCTTTCGCGTAAACTTTTTTCTTAAAGCACTGTTCAAGCTGCGAGGAATAAGGTATAAAAAAAGAACCTTCGAATACTTCGGGCGGAGAAGTCAGAGTTGAAGAAAGAAAGGCAGATAACAAAGAAAGAGGATCCCTAGTACCAATTATAGGCATTAGCAGGAGAAGTAGAAGCTTTAGGAAAGATATCGCACCTCGAGCAGAGCAGCAATGTGGCAGGACCGCCCCTTTATCGATTGCCTTAATTAAGACTCCTTCCCTCTTAAAAAGAAAGTCCGGTTCGGTTCTTTCTTGAATGTGGAATTTAGATCGTACCCAAGTGAAAGGTTGCCCGTACTTTATATAAACAAAAAGTCTTCGTCGTCGTCCTACAAAGTACTTTAAGTTCATTTCGTTACCTTATTAACAAAGTAGACGAATCACTTTCTTTCTATATTATATAATTAGAAAAGTTTACTTCTTTTTCACAGCCTATATGCGTATGCGGAAAACGAGAGTCCTTACTTTTCTTTCTCTTGCCCTGACATAATTCAGGGCTATCGGTTCCGTTCTGTTCTCTCTCTACCTCTTTTTTTTGACCTAACTTCAAATTTATGCCCGGCCATACCAACATGGGAAACCTAGCTTCCCTCCCTTTGAAGTGCATTTATCAGATCAGCTCCCCGAGTCACTAGAAAGAGGGTGAAAGGCCCACTACTTCTTCATTCATGGCCTATTTTTTGATTGATCTCCCTTTCGTATTCATTCGACCTGAGGCAAAAGAGAAGTCATACAAAGAAAGGTTCTTTCATGCAATGCATAAAGGGGGGGCCCACTATGGATTCCTCCAATTCAATGAATGAAGAGAGGAGTATGAGGAAATTTATTCTATATGAAGATTCAAACAAAAAGGAAAAAGGAACCATATCTTACTGAATAATCTGACTCAATGAGGAAGAGCTTTTTATGTGGTCTCACTTTACCACCATCTGAAATGCGCGAAACTTCGATTGGTGGAAGCCAGTCCATGAAGATTCTCCCTTTTCTTACGTGCAATTCCCCTCTTTCGGTAAGCATCCAGTATCTCAGCAAATGAACATTTCTCTAAGCTTATCCTGTGACTTATATGTCGTTTGAAAGCTGCTTCAAGGATCAAACGAATAGCTAAGGTTTGTTGACGATCCCTGGCTACAATCCCAGGGCTATTAACATAGCGCCTGCTATTACTACTTTTTCCACTTCGCATATGGGCTTTATATTCTCTAGGGCGAAAACCATAAGTTTGATTACATCGCGTTCAGTTCGAGCTGGGCGATGAAAAGTTTGATAAACAATAGCACGAACTCTTGTTCTTTTACCTTCTTTCATGCGAAAGTTGACCAACTTCTTGATCAATTGTTTTTACTCACCATTCAAGCCCCCTATATAGCTGAGAATTTCCGAGCAATTGGAAGCCGCTTTCGATGACGAGGCCGAGTTATTGATATTACGCGATCGTTACTGTCCATCTTTTTCAGCCAACTCCCCTCTTTCCATCTTTCCTTTGACCAAGGGGTCCTCGAACCAAGCAGTCTGGCCTACACCTAGGCCTAGAAGACATAGTTTATTAGATCCAGAAACTGAAACCTGGCATAACCAACTATTTTGGCCATGTAATAACATCACATCATAATATGAATCCGTGATAAAGCCTGGCATGTGAATCGCCTCGTCCCCATGTCCGAACAAGGTCAGGCATGTTCGGGGGTAATTGCTTACCGGCTCTCACCACCCACTCTGTGTATGAATCACAGAGTCTATCAAATATCCGCTCACACTCAGGTGGACGTCCGACCTAGTTGAAGAGGTACTTGACGAGAAAGACAGAAATTGACTATCATTTCTCATAACTTAGAAAGTACTGGGCGACCCATAGAGTACAAGCGAATTTTTCTTCATGACAGGTCAATGTAATCGAGCCTTGCTCCCCCCAAAGAGACTTGTCTACAATCGGGTTTGTTCAACCAAGAAAGACATGGGATTGTTTGGGCGTCACATTTTTTTGCTTTTATTACATTACGATATTTCTACTCAAAAAAGAAACCTATCATCATGTTCGAGAATTTCGAAAGAAGAACTGAGAGTGATTGACCTCTCACTCACGGCACACATGCTATATGTGTGATGCCGACACCTAAGAGACCTAAAGGTCTACTCCCTTCGAGTTGCTGTCCAACTAAGGGGAAGCATATTGGCCTCAATACTAACTCTCCAGTCCACATCTTTTTTAGACTTTTATACGATCGTCCTTTTTGCAACGCTTGTTTTGGAGATAGATGGTTAGTGAAGAACTAAAAGAAAGCAAAAGCCTAACTAACATAAAAAGAAATTGTTAGAGTGAAATGAATGTGCCGCTTTTTCTTGGTATACCAACTTTTGGCTTTCCATTCGAGAAACTAATGGCTGATGCTTTTAGCCGAAGGTTTTCTTTTATTAGGAAGACTGTAACTGCATTTGATCTCGGCCGTTGCATTCAGGGCAAGAAAGCTTTGACGCTTACTTGACACGGAACCTAAGTCTCCATTTTAAGGATACAATTCCAGAGGACAGGCTCATTGCAACCTGTATAAACGGGTTGCGGTTTTGGCTTCAGACCTATTTGATCTCGGCCGGCCTCTCGGAAGCGAATGATCTGATATTTCACCCGGGCGGCATCGAAGTGAGAAAATTGGAATTCCTTTTCTTCCGATCCAATGCCATCAACGGGAGCTGAACTAAACCTGTCCTCATCTACCCTTGATTAAGCCCCTCCCTCTGCCCGGGTAGAACATTGATTTACAGCTTTTTTATGTCGACTGTGAAGAGCAGAAAGAGCCTTTTATAGCTTCAAAGAGTTGACTTGGGATTATTGAATGAAGGAATGAAGGATATTAAACCCCATTCTTATTCCCACCCAACCCGGCACATTCAATATGAAGGGTGCCAGTTCCGTCCGCACAGGCTACACGATTCCAGGGAAGGTGAAGAGACGGCTACGAAGGGACCAAGCCTTGATCCCCATTGCCATCTTCTTTTGCATCTGTTGAATCCGCTTTCCCAGTTGGTAGTCGGCGGGAGGTGGAGTTCGTTGCTTCAGGAGAACAAATAGGTGGGGCACCTAGGTTCTTCGGATGGATAGGGAAAGAGTTACCTTGAGTCAGCGCAGGTGACGTCTAGCTTCCAAGCATGGGATATCCAGGAGGGGATGACAGAGAATTTGATTTCAACATGGGTGGAGGCTGCCATATTCTAGAAAGATTGTTGACCGATGGATCTGGTACTGGATAATTGATTCATTGTTTCGCCCCTCCCGGTCGGTGTCAAGCAGATGGCACTTCGGAAGATGGATTCCAATAGCTTGGTCTCCTTCTCAAGCTTCCACCCACGTTCTTCACTTCTTTCCATCGGCCCACAGGGAGAGGAAGAAGGGGCAACCTACCCGCACATTGGACCTGGGAGCGGAATGAAGAGATTTGGATTAGTTGTGGGATGGCATCAGGAGGAAAGGCGGAGAGGGTTAACTAGAGGGAATGGCTGGTCAAAAAAGGCCTCAGAAAGCTATCTGGCATTGGGTCTCTCGTATCCCCAATAAGCCGATCATGAGCCCGGGTGATGAAACAGCAGGAAAGAATAGGCCAACTCGTTCGTACTTTTTTTTAAGGATCTCCTAACTCATCTCTTCCAACCACGGGGAGGGAGCCATCACAGAAGGAAAGCCTATCAATAGGAGATCCGTCTCTTATCCATTGGAGGAAATCAATGCCAGGGGAAACGATAGGGGGTCGGCCAATAAAGCTTTCTATTAAAGATAAGGGCTTTGCTAATCTTTAGATGCTCATTTCGACCGAAGCAGGATCAGTCGATTACCACTTCGAACTGCTACCGGAACCCCCCTTCCTGGGCTTTCATCCTCATCCTCGGGCAGCATTTCGACGCTTCCTTGAATTCCCTTATTTCCATGCCCCTCGCATCCAGAGGAGTTTAACCTAGTAAGGTCCTCGATCGATATCCGGGATTCGATGAAAGTATGGAAGGTTCGATGTAATTGACCAAGAGTTCAATCTTAAGGTCGGTACCTATTACCTATAAGGTAAGGAGTGAGAGGAGAGCAAAGTGAGTCTCGACCAAACAAACGAAGCACAGCGCAGTGAAGTCAAAGAGTTCCTTCGGAAAGGTGTAATTGAGGTTAATTACATCAATCCTAGGCGCCCATCTCTGGGTAAATCGGGGGAATATCAATAGGCTCGATATAATTGACCTTTCATAGATTCCTCATCTGGCATTTCTATCATTCCTACCTTACCCTCCAATCCAATATGTCCTTTCAAGTGGCTAGATATCCTCTCCTTTAAAGTATTGAATCCCTCTAGAATTACAACTGGGGGTAGAAAGTAGAAATATGGGCCGCCTGCCTTCACTAAAGAAAAAAAGACGATCAGACTATCTCTTATCGTCTGCATTATTATTCTTGCTTATATTATATACACCGCTAAAAGGTTGAATTCCGAACGATTAGGTTAGAGCAGGGTGGCTTACGTAATCTTTTAGGTAGCCACACTCAATCAGGTCTTGAATATGATGCCTCAGGGCCTTGCACCCTTTTGTCTCGTGACCATGGGACCTGTGAAAATCGCAGTACTTGGTCGGCGGATCGTGATTGATGGATTCCTCTTTTACTAGCGAGTGCTATATCTATGGATATCTTGAGTCAGGCAAGTTATGTTAGATATTGATCGAGGAAGGCAGCTTTATAGTGACGGAAGGCGATGGGGCGAGATCTCAAGGAAATGAAGTAGGCTCGACCAAAGGGAGAGGAAGCACCAATCATTATGGATCCTCTTTCTTCTTTTTTTGCTTTCTTTCGAAATTGAGCTTTTTGCTTTGTTTGCCGCCGTTGATTAGCTTCATCTTTCCTCCTCTAATTCAGCCGGTTAAATTCATTGATGGATCAACCCCTGGGTATGAATAGGTTTATTTTCCTAAGAGAAGAGGGCGGATAAGAAAACGGGTATGCACTCCTTACTCAGAGGAGAGAATGGATATTAATCAAACGTAGGAAATCCCTACTTTTTATCAAATCCCAGAAGAACAAGACCTACTTCGGACATAAAAACAATGAAACTGACCGCGACACTGAACCGGGGCCTCTTCCTAGAACGGATTGGCCCCTCTAATAGACTCTTCTCCGCTTGAAAGGCCTGTGCCTTCGATTCAGACAAGAGATGACGACAAGGATGCTTGGAAAGGGCGTATTTCTTGCACCTGGCATTAGTGCCGACTGCTGCTACAGTGTCTTAAAGTTCGAGCTNGTGGTGAGTTTACACCCACCGAAGCGAGTGTGACAAACCAAGTTTTGGCTTTAGGAAGTGCTCCAATGTTTAAAGCGGAAGACGAATCTGATAAAAATGGGTATCTATCTGCAGGGGCGGAACAAGAAGCAGGGCTAGACCACTACAGGACAAGACAAAAAGTGGGCTTTCGTCTCCGGGTAGAACCCAACGATTCGAAAAGCAGCGAGCACGCATTCGTTCATCTTGAGTTCAGTCTTCCTGTGGTCTACTCAAAGCGAGCACGAGTCTAGTTATCTTGATTCAAACGGGCCTATTGATGACGGGGCTCGAGATTAGGGCTTGAAAGCGAAAGTCTGAAAGAAGGGAAGATGAGAACGAAAGGACGGAAGAAGCGAAGAAGAAGGAGAAACCAATTGGAGAGTTCATACCCAACGGAGCTCACCCGGGGTGTTAACAGGCGATGGGTGCCTTTAGAACGGCTCAGAAGACGAAGAAATTCCGGGAGTCGTAACAAGCAAGGTTTTTGACTTATTCACCAAGGGAGGAAGCAGGAAGAGTTCATCGACCAAGTGAAGCAGATCAGATAGAGCTTCGGGTCGGTCCTCAACTTGAAATATTTGGCAAGGTTATAAGCTTCAAAAGCAACTTTAGAAGCAGTGATTGGGTCCGGCTCCAAGGAGTCTTGAAGACTTACCGTTGAGCATTTATCGAAAGTACAATATCTCCGGTTACTGAAGTATAAGGGAAGCCACCGTAGTACACGGCTGGAACAAAAAAAAAGGTGTTCCATTAGGATCACTTTCATCCAGCTTTCCTTCGCCCTTTGTGGCTACTAGTGAAGTGCTATCTCGATTGAAGCGTCATAGGTCAAGCTTACGACTAGGAGTTTCCATTGGAGTTGGAGGTGGGATAGATCTCGTTCACTCTTGAGTTGAAATCTATGCTCGATTGCAGCTATCTTCGCCGGGTGAGCAAAAAGCATTTACTTTGCGCCTGCCACTCCTACTGATGAATAAGAGGCCACTTACTTGGTAGAACTTGAATCATAATCTCTTTCATTCTCGGCTTCTTTCTGAACACCTATACTTAGAACTTAGAAGTATAGTGGCTTTCGCACCTGCTCTCTTTTCAAGTTTTATACCGTAAGATGAAAGATTTTGCTTTTGATACGGCAAAGGAAAAAAATGGATATCTTAGCGCCGGGGGGCTGTACTCCTTATGGGTAGAAGTTGCACTAGCACGAGATGCTCCTTTAGGACTTCGGCTTGGAACTGCTGCAATTGGATCAGCTGGCTAGCGTTAGTCTAGGAGATTGAAAAAAGAAATGGGTTTCTTCTCTTGAGATAACACTCCTCCGATTCCCACGTGAGATCCGTCACATTCAACTTGGAAAGGCTTAGTGAAATCCGGAAGGGCTAGAATGAGGACTTCGGTGAGCTTCTTCTTCAAGAATTTGAAACTCTCATCTGCTTTGTCACACCACCGGAGGGTCCATGTAATTGAGAATGATGGTACTTTTTATCGTGGATCCCATCATCAAACAATTGTTTAAATAAATGTGCTTGCTGCCACCTTTTCTTTTAAAGTCTAGATCAATGAACTCATTTCTGTCTGTCTTGAATCTACCTGTTCGTTTGAGAATCATATGGTACCACTTCTCACGGATTCCATCGACAATAACGCATAACTGCAGACTTGCTTAGCATCCTTCCTAGTACAGGTTGGGTTGAATCTCCAAGAAGGCTTCTGGAAAGCGGTTTAAGGATAGCGCTTCGCCTTCGCACCTTGCCGAACCTAAGGTGAAAGCCCTTGTTCTAGCTAATTCGGTGCGCTAGGATTCTAAACCCGAAAGCATTACAGTAAAGGTATGGAAGATTCTCAATCTCTCCTCCTTCCCTAGCTACTTTTCTTTTCTCAATTACATCGACCCTTTGGGATTGATTGAGCCACCCATCGTTGGATTCTAGTACCTCTTACCGGTTTGCTCATCGCCGATTCCCTCCCGTCCAAAGACTTTTTGATGTGTAGTTCGATTGGTCTCTGAAAGCTTCCCTGTTGGAGCTAGATGAAGGAGAAGCGGTAATTGGAGACGCAAAGTAAGCTAGAAGTCAAAGTAGAATCCAATGGGTCTAGTTAGCGCTCTAACCTCACTCACAAGCTAAAACGATGTATTTTAACCATTTAGTCCGTTTTTACTTGTTTAGCTCTGCATCTGGTGCCCTAAGTGTGGACTCTTTCTAGAATACGGGGGATATTCTCATATCAAAAGAAAATAAGAATCTTTCTGGGGTCCAGCATGTCCAATCAAATTAGGGAAGATTCCTACTCGCAAGTAAGCTCTCCTTACCAGCAAGGAAATTCTTTTTTCAAGATTCCCGGAAGAGCATGTGTTGGAAAAATGCCATGGCCGAGGAGTTACACTTCAGATCGTATATTAAGATCGTATAAAGGTAAACAGCCTGCTTCTTCTCGCCTATCCTCTTATAGAAGGAGGTATCTCATAGGATCTTACGCTCATAAACCTTAGGTGGCTACTTATGCCCGTACGTACTCGAATTGAGAAAAAAATAGAAAGAAAATATAGGGCCAACTCTTCTAGTTGTGACCCAACGAACGAAGCGAAGAGTTGGTGTTATATCCGTTTTTGCTATTGAATTAGGAACCGCTGCAATTGATAGAATGGGAGTTGACGGTCCTTTTCTCAAATCTGGGGGACGAGATATTGTATTTAAAAAAAAACAACTCTGAGATTTTGACTGAACTTCGCTTCGAGTCACCTAATCATACCCAAAGNCCTATCGGTTCTAGCACAAAATGACTGTGGGGGCAGCGACAACCGTGGCTCCATCCGGCCCAACAGAAATAAGTCTGGTCTTTTCCTTCACTTCGCTTCGTTCGTTGGGAGTTCAAAGGGCATCAAGTCGACGCGAAAGGCTCGATGTAATTGACCAAAACCCCGTCCAGGAGGTTTGAAGATGCTCGACGCGAAAGGAGAGGAGAGGGAAGATGTAATTGATCTAGCCAGTTCCCTTTTGGTTTTCACTAATCGGCTAAACCTGAAATGAAAGAAATAAGAAACTCCAGGAAATTTCTGACAATGAGATGATTTCGACCCTGATCTTTCTACTCAATAAAGAAAATTGACTAAAGATTTTTTCTTTGAACTATTTGAAGCCATGCGACGGAGGAGGAGAATCCCCAGGTTGATTTGACTTTACGCTTTGGCCAAAACGAATTGAACTACTCTCACTCTCTCCGGCCGAGCCAAGCCATCATGCAGCGCTGTCGATTTCTTACTGTCGAGACAGCCTGTCCGAATCCAAATCATTCGACTTCCTCCTTTTAATCAATCCCATTTCTGGCCTTGGTAAAGCCAGAGAAAAGAGAATGAAGAAGGGGTGGAGTAGGATCGAGGTCTCCAACAAGATTCTGCAAAAAGTGCTGTTCTGGAAGGACAAATGCCTCAAAGTGGGGCTGCTTGTTAACTGGGCCAGACTTCCTTTTTCCTTTCCCTTCTTATACTGTTCGAATAATGACATATATAATGAGAAGACGAAAGATCTCAATTTTCTTCATTTCACAGCTATATAAAACGTCAAAAGTCTGATTCCAGATGTGCTCTTACGAGTGAAAAGTGACTTGCTTCATTTTGCAGCTATATGAGACGAAAGCAATCCCTTGCTCCCTTCCTCTCCCTTTGGTCGAGCATATGTTATAACCTGAACTTCGAAAAGTTCGTTGGGTTCCGCCAGAACAAGGTGAGTTTGCTCTAAACACGGACGGTGCGGTGAAAGAGTCAAGGTTAGCTTCGGCCGGTGGCTTGATTCGCGACAGCAATGGAGCATGGGTTGGTGGTTTTCTTGTCAATATAGGAGTCACCTCTGTGCTTCATGCGGAGTTAGTCGGAGTCCGAGAGGGACTCAAGTTAGCTCAGGCTTTGGGTATTGGTAGACTAGTGGTGCAAGTAGATTCGAGTTTAGCTGTTCTTCTACTAAAGGCTCGATGTAATTGACCTCCACTCACATCCTCAGCAACATCATCTTTGACTGTCTACAGTTCATGCGAAGCTTCCAACATATTTCCATTCATCATGTGCTACGTGAAGGGAATAAGTGTGCAGATTGGCTACACTTGCTCAGTCCAGTGGCCATGGAGTTAGTATTCTGGACCCCGACGAGCTTGCGTTCTATGCTCACTTCTGATAGCTTAGGCATTCAATTCTTAAGGCTGTAGGGCCTTCGTATCAAAAAAGAATTTCATTCAGTTAGATGGAACCCTGTAGATCATCCTGATCTATCAATCTTTCTACCCTTAAAAATATGTCCATTTATTGGGATTGCAGATCTTGAAAGGCATAATAGTTTTTTTTTCATTTCTTTTCTCTTGATTCAATCCAGCCACAGGTTCCCCTACGGCTACCTTGTTATGACTTTCAACCAGAAGTCATCCAGGCTCTGAGCTACTATACTCAGTATACCTAGTAAAGTCACCCCCTTTCGCTCTTTTTGATCGTTGCTACGCGACTCACGCCTTATAGGTTTGAAGATACTCGACCATACAAACGAAGCAAAGCGAAGTTCAGTCCCTGGAGAGGAGAGAGGTAATTGAGGTCAGTGGTTCACCCATTTGTTCATTCCTTGCTTGCTTTACCTTACAGGAGTATGAGTTCCCGGAGAAGAAGAAGGAATGCATGCAGCTTGATGAGGATCCATACTCTAACAAGTAAGCAAGTAAACTACCTTGAGAGAAGGCTCGATGTCTATGACTGAACTTCTAAAGATGTAATTTACCTAATGGGCTCGCTTCACCGATCTCTATATAGATCGCCTCTAGATCCCATTAGACTGATTTAGTAAAGAGAATAGCTTTTTTCTATCTATTGGCAAGCCTGAAAGCATGTTAACCAAAGGGACTGAAAGAAAGCTTAGCGATAGCTCTACTGATAGATGTTGAGAGAGTCCCCCGTAGTGCTTTTCGATCTTAGGGTTGGTTCTGTCTGTACGCGAGAATGAGATCAGAATGGATGTTTATTTGGTTTATTGCGAAATGCATTGGCCAACTTTACTGCATTAAGGCAGGACTCCATCTCTTTACCTTTTGAAAAGATGCCTTTCGGTCTTCCAGTCAACAGAGGAAGATTCAAAGTAAATTACACCTTCCCTCTCCTTTACTACTTCTGACTTCACTGCGCTTCGCTTCGTTCGTTGGGTCTTAGATACGAAGACTGAAAGGAGAGGAATGAGTGTATTTGCGATAGTAGGATCGGTAACGGTAAACCCACCCTCTACGCTAGAGAACGGTA